CCCCAAAACCCCAAAACCCCATATTGGGCAATTATATTATAAATAGGCAAAAATTTTCCATGCAAATTATTAATATTTAATATAAAAGCCACTACTATTAAGCGAGCTTAGAGTAAAATGAGTGAAAATTTTGGAGATAAAATTACAACTATGATTGTCAATTGTGAACAGAATGAAAGCATCAAGAAAGTTGAATCTTTCTCAGTAAATATACTAATTATATTACATCTCTTTATTATAGGCCTTACAATCATAAATCACTGATATATTCGCAAGTAATGATTAAAGCTTGATTAACTCAGTCTTTACTATATGTCTCAACCATCTTGATCATCCTTTAAAGTAATTATTTTTGTTTATTCATAAGATTTATTTAGCACTGTTGCAGTAATTTCAAAGTCCTTAGTCAAGAAAACCCTGCACTAAGCTGATAAACAAAAGGTCAGAAGCTTATACCTTCCTGAAATAGAGAGATTGAAAGTTCGTGGATACAAATCTAGATTCATAGGCCTTAATATCATTATTGACTACGTTGATCCCTTCACATACCTAGAGGAAAATCCAGGTGCTGTTCAAGAGATAATGGAAAGCACTATTGAGGCAGTTACTACTGGCAAGTATGTGATTAATTTCTTTGAGTCAGTTCTTAAGAAGGCAATGGGCAAAAGTGTTGAATAAGAATAGAGTAAGTTTAATGTTTATTTATAATATACTTTAGAATGGTTTGATATTTGGATTAATGAATATTTGAGCTGTCTTTAGAGTCCAAGAGAAAACCTGAGAGAAGCGGTATGTGCTCTTATAACACCTATAGTCATAAAAATCAATAAGAACTCTCTCCCATATATCTTGTCCACTGTATTATACATATCATTTAAATAAAGTTTAGTTATTGACTGACCCAACCACTGGGAGATAGAGAAGCCTGACTACCTAGACATTAGACCAGATCTTAACCTTACTTAAGATTGCTAGATCTAACAAGATGCTTATCATTGATGAGACTCACATCAGATTAGAAAAGAAATGCCAAGAATCACTCAATCAGCTTAAGCCTGAACTCCCAGATTTCATGTTTCCCCACGAATACCTTTTGAAGCTAGTACTAAGTGAGAACTTTTAGACTTGCTTGAATTGCATTGAAATCGTAGCTATGGAGGTTAAGCAGACATGCAGCATAACTAAATTTGAATATGAAATGGCTAATAGATTCATCAAGAATTGCCTTAGGACCACATTCCCTGAATTCAGATAGAAGTACATCAAAGCTATCAAGTCCTTTATTATAAGACTCAGGACTTCAACAGACAAAGACATTAGGAAATATGTAGCAAGTGAAGAGGGGTAAATGACTGAAAATGTTCAGCAAGTGGTAGATTTCATGAGAGATATCATAACCTTTATCCAAGATAATCTCTACCTTGATAAACCAGTTGAGGGTGCTCTCCCCTTGTTTGAAATCTTTAAGATCTTTATTGAACTTTTCGGAGACTATGAATACAAACTGAGAATTACTCAAATTTACCCACCATGTCATTTGATATCTAAAGCCAAACTTTTAGAGTAGCAAAGTTTCTTCGTGTTTTTACTAAACTCTCTCAAAAGTACCTGGACCTAAGTTAGAATGTACAGTTATGATATATTGATAAGATACCCAGATAATTACCCACTGTATCAAGACAAGAACTTCATCAACACTGTAATTTTATAGACTGCTCTTGAACTAGCAAACAACCCAAAGGCTATGCTTGCTGAGGCATCAGCTTTATTCTTCAACTTGATTCTGAAGAAGTGCCTTCGCCAGTTGGATTTTTTAGACATCCAGGATGGAACTCAAGACGACTAAGATTTGCAACTTCAATACCTCAAATACATTTTATCGCTCATTCAAAAAAGGGTCACCACATTCTAAGTCTCTCTGATTAAGGAAGGCAAAAAAGAGGCATTACTTCACGGGCTTTTATCATTCTTCAAGCATCTCTTTGAAGACTTTAAGATCAATGTTAATCCAGAGACTAACCCTGAGGCGTTCCAGAAATGGAGAACTTTCTTTAAAGATCTGCTAGATACATGCCTTAGCATTTCTCAAGTTTGCAAGGGTTTGATATCTAACAACGGACTAATGAGTGATGCTGAGGGCGTTGAGGGAGGAATTGGAGAGATCAAAGTAGACTGCAGAGGTCATCCCATCAAAATGGATGGGCTTGGCGAAGGTGTCGAAAATGAAGACTATGAGAATCTCATCTTAGTTGGAGTTTGGCTTGCAGTTAAAGAGGATGGATTGACTTTGTTCAACTTTTTGAAGTGGTTAGATTTCCCCACTAGCAGAGACGACAATACTAAGTTTATTGTAGATCAGGACATTCATCTACTCTGTGATAGCTTCCTTGATATGCTATTCAACTTCAAGCACAGAGGTGCAATAGAGAAAGCTGCTGAAACATTCTCCCTATTCTGTCAAAAATTATTATCATCCCCAGATGCTTACTACAAGTCACTTCCAGAGAGAATGCTTGATTAAGCACTTGAAAAGATAACTACTGAGAACTTAAGTACTATCTTGAGAAGATCAGCTGGTATTCCCCCTACTATCATAGCTATCTTAAGAGCCGAACCAATCTCTGCTGAACCAATACTCCTAAATAAAACTTTAGAATTCCTCCTTAAACTAGCTTAGGAATCAGTTAGCGAGAGAGATGACTCTAAGATCCATGCCTTGAATATTATGAGATTCATTTTCTAGGATGCTTTCCTTAGACATGACGTGCAAAAGTTCATCACACCAGCTATGATTTTAGCAACAGAGTCTTTCAGCTCCAATAGTTGGTCTATTAGAAATAGTGCCTTAATGGCTTTTACCGCTCTCACCAAGCGTATTCTTAACAACTTGCATGTCCAGGATCAAGATTTATCGAGAACCAAGGGTCTATCAGTCTTTGAGTTCCTTACTAAATATGAAAAGCTTAGCAATTACTTCCAAATTAAGCTTAAAGAAGGCCTTAAACTGACTGGCAAGATCTAGAAAGAAGAAAAGGAGAAGTAAGATTTGGTTATATTCAGTATCTTATTGCTCATTTCAAGACTTATTCCTTCGTTCTAATTGGTTGAAAATATTGAGGAAGCCAAGAATGAAAATAAACAAGTAGAAGAGGAGAAATCAGAATTGACTAATGACTTGAGATCATCAAAATTTGAGGCTATTGATGAGTACGTAAGGCTGATCAAAACATACGGAGGCAATGCTACTTACTTTGTAAGAAAAATCAGTGCGTAAGCCTTATTACCACTGATTAAGTTTGATTCTTACATTGATGAAATCAAGGACTGCTACAGTTAAATCCAAAATTCCCTTGCTGATTCAAAGTCAAAGCTAAGGCAAAACACAGCTCACGGTTTATTCATCAGACTACATGTCTTCTAATCAGCCTACTTCCAGTATAGAGATATTACAAACAAGCAACTAGGACCAGGCCATTATTAAAATGTCTAAGTTCAAAGAAAGGTAGAAGAAGTGACTCTAGTTCAATGCTTTGAAAAGTTTGAGACTCATTATGAGAAGGCTGAATAAACTTATTCCAGAATCAGCATAGCTCTATATGTTAAATCCTTTTATAAGGCTGTTAATAAGCTTAGAAACTATACTATCTCTGAGGAGACTATCTCTAGATATCATCAAAGATTCTAAGTTTTGATGAGTGAGTTATAGGGATAAGAACTTAGCAGTGATAAACAGATTATATTGCAGTAAATCGCAAGACTTCTTATCGTACTTAATCTCAAGACTATTATTTAAAAGAATCCTAATTCAACTTAGAATGAGAATAATATCTTTGAGATAGTCAAGTCAATCGTCGGATCATTTATTGATAACTACAGTGATTTTGTATATACATTTTTAAATCAGTTCAAGGGTTTTGTATCATAAGTAATTTACTCATCTTACTTAATATATTTAGATATAATACCATGGCTCTAAGGACTTTGTCAAGAATTTAAGTGACTACGTTAGTGTAACACAGCTAAACTACCTTCTTCAAAAGTAAACTTATTTTAGAAATAACTATTAGGGATGAGAAATATTGCAAAGTAATTGAGAACCTTTTGATTATATCTTACAAGCTTTTAAAGTAGAATACCTAACTCTACAACCAAGACTTTACTGAGACTTTATTTAGCTACTTCCACAAATGCAACTCAAACCCTTCAATCCTATCTCAAGTCCTTAAACTCCTTACTATCGCAGCAGAAAGAGATCTCAGTCAAAAATAGGCTCAATCAACTTTAGTATGTGATGTTGCATAATTCCTATATAACTATTCAAATATGGACCATAAGGAGTAAGTTAGAATCGCAGTATCAAAATCAATTGGCAAACTTATCAAACACTTGAGGATCTCAAATGACTCTATATTTGTATCTAGCTTAGAGTATTTCAGTGCTTATTGCAATGTGATATCAGCAATGGTTTTGCTATTGAATGACGAACAACCAGATATAAGATACTATCTCTGCCATTACGGTCTCACCCAAGTCATTGAGAATAATCAGGAATGGACTATTTAACATGCTTAGAATGAATAAGGCTAGGATCAAGAGATGATAGCTGTCACTCTCAATGATGAATTAATATAAGTCAGATTATTCTAGGACATCACAGACAAGCTTATGGCTATTAATAATGAGAACATACTTAAGCACTTTGCCAATGAATTCCTACTCAAATAATGGATACTAGCCAACCCTTATAGAGATCATTTGGCTAAGAATTTCGAGGATAAGATCTTCTTCTTTGAACCTATTAATAAGTTTTATGATCTCCTCTGGGTCAAAAGAATTGCTTTCAGAAGTTTAATTCAAGTTATCTCTTATCTTGACTACACTTTGATTTCAGAGGAACAGTTGGGCAATCTTGAAAAATCTATTATAAGCTTTTACTCTGATGACTAAGTATTGAGACAGTCATCAACTAATTTTGAGAAGGTAGTAGAAGTTATAATTCTACATAGACTCAGAAACGGCTTGGAACAGACTCAGACTGTAGCTGCCTCTGATAAAAATGATCAATACATTAGAGAATTACTCTAGTGAAAAGCATCACGAATTAAAACGTCAATAAATTGATTAATACCATACTGAATGATTGATCATGAAATATTTATTCTTGATTTTATAACTTTTCGATCTAAAAAAAATAAAATTCTAGCATTGTGGGGTTTTGGGGTTTTGGGG